GATTTTTATCTTTGTAAATGGTATGCTGATATAATTGATGAAGAAACTGATGATGTAACAATAATTTATCTTGGAGAATTAGAATGGAAATTTTTAAAAGTTAATTTTACAAATATTTTACAATTTATTCAAAAACAAACTTTAATATCTCGATTAACACTTTTAAATTATAAATCACCAATATTTGATGATGATTGTTTCCAAATTAATTCTAATGGAATATCTGGCGAATGGAAGAGAAAAAGTGAATGTATTTTTTGTGAGAAATTATTTGACAATGACGATGGATATATTTTATGGGAATGTTTTATACCAAATGGATTAGCACAAATAAAAGTTAATAATAAAATAAATAAAGGTTTGGGCTATGTAGAAAAGTTAACAATGACATTAAAACCTTGGCAAGTACCCATTGATATTTTACGATGGGGAAGATTTTTATATGAAAATCAATATATTATTTGGATTCGTTGGATTGGTAAAGAAGAAAAGTTTCTCATTTTTCATAATGGAATAAAATATTCTGATGGAATTATTAATGATGAAATGATTGAATTTGGAAATTATCGTTTAATCTTATTAGAAAAATATATTTTACGAAATGGATTATTAAGTGAAACAATATTTGATAGATTTGTTTGGATTAAAAAGTTTTTTCCATTGGAGTTTCTTGATATAAATGAATGTAAATGGGAAACATGGAGTGAATTCTATGAAAAGAATTGTTTAATTGCAAAAGGTTGGTCTATTCATGAAAATGTTAATTTTAAATCGGAGATAAAAAGTCATTTTGGAAAAATGTTTTATGGATTCTTGTTTACAATTTTAATTCCATTATTATTAATATTTTGGTCAAAACAAACAGAAAAATATATTTTTCTATCAATACCAATAACAAATTCAGTTGTTGTTTTATTATCTAATTTTTTTTGGAATAATTTTAATAATATTTGCCATGTTAGAATTATGGTTTAAAGGTGATGGACTTCCAATGAATGCATATCCACCATCAAAATTAGTCGTGACAGGTGTCTATAAAATCTTTTCACATCCAATTTATATTGGAAGTTCATTAATATGTTTTGGTTTATCAATGTATTATGAATCTAAAAGTGGATTTTTGTTTGTTTCTCCTTTATTAACATTATCTTGGATTTCACTTGTTTATGGTTATGAAAATGAAGATTTAAAACAAAGATTTAATAAAGAATATACTTGGAAAACATTATTAAATATACCAGAAAATGTGAAAATAAAATATGAATATGCAGATATCATATCGATTTATTGTTTAGTTTTTCTTCCTTGGTTAATCTTCTATGAAATTCTTCTGTTTATTAGACCACCTTCTTATTCAGTATCAACTTATTTTGAATTTGAGCATAATATTCCAGTTATTGAATGGACAGAATTCTTTTATGTTTTTACTTATCCTTATGTTGTATTTTTACCATTGATTTTGCAAACAAAACAACAAGTTCGTTGTTTTATAATTGATGGTTTGATGAATATGAGTATTGGAATTTATTTACAATTTATTTTACCATTTGTTGCACCACCAAAACAATTTATTCCAAAAACAATCTTAGGTGAAATGTTATTATATGAACGTTCTTTTGATGGTCCAGGATGTGCATTTCCATCATTTCATGTCTCCTGAGCATTTCTATCAGCTTATTATTATTCATGGATTTATTCCAGACACAATTTTATATTTTATATTTTATCAATTTTAATATCTCGCAGTTGTATAACAACAGGAATGCATAGTATTCTTGATGTTGTAGGAGGTTTTTTGTTATTTTTAATTTGTATTAAACGAATTAGATTATGGATTTACATAAGAAGCTATTTTGAGAATTTAGCGAATTCATGGTCATGTTATAGAATTGGTAGATTACGTATTATTAATTCAAGTATTTATGTCTTTGTAAGTGCATCAATAGGTGGATTGATTATTTTTTCATTGATTGGAGATATTTCTGGTGTATTATTAATCAATTTATCATCTTTATTTATGGCAGCAGTGTGGGGTCAATATATTGAAAGATCAAGTGGATTATCTCGACCATTTGGTTATTTTGGTTTTATCATAGGTGGTATAATGGGATCATTGATTGTTTCATGGTTTTATAGTATTTCTCTTGTTCGAATATTATCAGCATATGCATTAGCAAGTCCTTGGATACAAGGTGTTGGTCGTTTTCGATGTATTATCCATGGATGTTGTCATGGTAGATCAACAAATAAATTTATTGGAATATTAATAACTAATTCACAATCACGAGTATGTTCTTTATCAAAATTAA